ATTACCACATAGACTTCTACCACACCCGTATACGTTGCGAGAATTTAAAAAAGTTTAAAAATGTTCGCATATTTATTCATCTGCATTAAAAATAAGGAGAGTCGAAAACACTTCGGCTAATTACTACTATCGGCGCCGTCCGTGAACACTCAGCACTAATGGTTTATATCTTTAATATAATATTTTTGATATTTATTTATGACTATTTATTTTTATTTATAACTATCTCTGATACTTTCCTATTATCATTCAATCTGTAGACTAATATAATTTCATGGTATGCAGGAATAGATAGCCAGATACTACTAGCTAGATATTGATGCAGCCATCCACGTTGGGTAGGACCACGCATGTGCACATGTTTGCTATATGTTTTAAGAGAGTTATTGTCACCTAAGGGTCATAGGTGTTCGGTACAGTGGCGCCGAAGGCCGTTGACTGTACATTGGCTCAGGGTAGTGAGAACCGCCCTGAAGCGCAGGTGTACCTTGTATACACGAAATCCTAGGTGAGGACGAAATATTAGCTTGTGTGAGCTATCATTGGGTATCTACAATGTCGTCCGGCGGGATTCTCGACGGTACCGGAGGCTAAAGATGTCACAGGAGTGTTGCCATTCGTAGGAGCCACTCAGAATGTAGCCCACATTCTGAGTGGCTCCTATAGCAACAGTAAATGTCTCTATAAACCAGATTTAAAACCTCTCATAAGTTTGTCGCAACAACTTGTCCACGATCATCAGAATGAAAAACTGCCGTACCCATAGAATAAATGAAAGTAAAGTTTTTATAATCTATTAAGTTCGTCTAAAGAATTAAAAAAAAATAAAAGTTTAAAAAATAAACTAAATAAACAATCATCAACAACAAAACGAATAGTTTTATCATCAAAATTGGAACGAATTCATCAAATCATTGCACTGTTATCGCTTATTATATATACAGTACCTGGAGGACCGAGCGTTGCTCGGTTTGTATTTTTGGTAAAACGTGTATTTTAGAAATTACATTTAGATACAAATGACTGAGTAATGAAATATGCATAATATTTTTCAATCTAACCGACGTAATAATAAGAAAATATGAACTGGTGTTTTTCACAAAAGAAAGAACTTAAAAAAAGGGAGAAAAAGAACAAAATCATCTGGATGGACAAAAAATAAGGAAAGCAATGATCTGGAACCAAAAAAAAAAGTAAAAAAATAAGTGTGTAAATCGAAGTGTGTAAATAATCGTGTCGATCTAGCTAGGTTTCATTTTTAGAAAATGTCCTTTTATCCCTGTTTTCAGGGAATGAAAAATATCATTCGAATATGACAGTAAATTTCGCCGCAAAAAAAATGTTATAATAGCTCGGTCGGTAATCGGGCGGCCCCGAAACAGACGGCCGCGATTCGTATCACGATCATTTACACACCTTTTTTTTTACTTTTTTTCTACACCAGATCATTTTCTTTATTTTTTATTTTTTTTATTTCCAAAATACATGATTTACCAAAAAAAAGAAGCAAACAAGCTCGGTCCTTCAGGTACTGAATTATTATTACATCAAATTAATCAGACGTCCTGAAGTTGATGAAAATAACTTTGAAATATTCCGTTACATTGAAATATACTTGGATACAAATCAAGCTCATAAAAGCTTGTTAATACGATATTTCACTTTTCTATAGAGACGGACATTGTTTTAATCTTTAAATATATTATACAAAATCGGCAACACCGAAACGGGTCCTACGCCTTGTTTTTATTTAACTGGTCCGCTGTTACGGAAAACAAGTTTCGCCGTCGGCCTGTAAGGCGATCGACGCGGCTGACATAAGTTTTGAGAAAAAAACAAAACGATGAACATTAATTGTTGCAAGGATTTTTGAAACTAAGCGCGGCAAAGGTCGACGCGAGATGGATGCCAGCGGACTTATTTTGTTTTCGAACACGACGCGACGTGGGCGTGCGCGGGAATTCTGGTTTTATAATCTGTTGTGACCGTGTTGCGACGTGGAATATGCAATGTCGACGAAACCACGCGAGTTCAATGACATCTTGATCTTCGCAGTTGACGCGTATCCGAAGATCTATCGAGTGTGCTTGCAAGCGAAAATCAAGTTTAATTAGTAATTCGTCTTGAAGTTTCTTCGGTATATAAGGGCAAGAGATAACATTATGTAGTTCCGTTTAACTAATATTTCATGTTTTATATAAAAATCTTTACTTTATTCTCTTTCATTTACTTCCTTATTCATCGTACACATTTAATTATTATAAACTTGATCTAATGAACACGAATTTTATCAATAAGTCGTCTCTGGTCACTTATAAGTAAATCATTTCAAAGATTTGCGCAATCTTAGTGAATAAACCTAGCACCTCGTTACTCAAAAAGACCGAGTAAACTACAAGCATCCTCTCGGAAAAGTTATCACGACGTGCATCTAGTAAGGCAGTTTTGAAAATCTGAAACAGAATGAATACTTTTCTCACAACTATAGTTTTCTCCCTCCTCAACATCGCCGTAGTAAATCATTATAACTTTTCCAAATTATACTCTCCCATAACTCTTGAATCTCTTGAGATAAAGTGTTCGTAATATAAGCGCTATCGCGATACTAATAAGAGTTCTGGATAATTACATCTAAGACCATATTGATATGTTGACCCGGTCCTTGCAAATAAATGCTCTATTCTATGTTCTACGGCTGCCACTTCTAAACATATGTCATATAAACATATGACATATGCCTCTGTTCTGTTACAGCAGAGAACAGTAATAACAGTCTCGTAACCTGCGTATAGTCCAAGGCTTATCGGCTTGACCACATCGAATTAATCAATTCGTGTAGCGGAAAAGTCTACGACTCAATTGGACGCGTCAAGTTGTTTCAGAACCGCCAATTGCCCGCACTTTTACGAGCGAGAAGATAAATAACGCGATTTCGAGAGCGCCATATCTTTGTTACGAATTCGTGACATCCGAACAAATGTTCCGGCGCTTTCTTTCCATCTTTTATTTACTCTCAGTTCGCTACGTAATGATTCACTGGGTAAAGTCGTGACACCGTACACTTCTTTTTGTTCTCTTTACTCAATTTATGGTTCGTTGTTAAAACACCACTTCACTACAAACAGTTATGTCAGTAACAATATAAGTTGCGATGACCGTGTGGTGGAACCACACAGCAGTCTTCGCTGTTGCATGAATGGGCAGGTCCATCCGAGGAAGTACCACAACATCACAGAAGACCGGCGACCGTGGAAGTGTTATACTTCTTCTGCGTTATGTCCGGTAAGTGATTTGGCCGGTGACCACTTTATCAAAAGGTGGCAACACATCTGCAGCCCTGCGGGTGTTGCAAATGTCAATGGGCGGCGATTATCACTTAATATCAGATGAACCGCCATCTCTCTAGCTATAGCTATCATCTCCAAAAAAAAACCTTATATGTTAAGCACTTACTATATATAGCTATCTTCTACAAAAAAACTTATTTGTTTACGGAATAAGTGGCAAACTAGGCGGTGTCCTTATTAAAGTGATTATTGCTACTATAGAGATTTCCTAAACCTTTTGGTTTGCCAACTTTTACGAAACTTGGCTCTTGTTGTTGATTTTACTATCTTATCAGTGAAACGGGAGGTATAAAAGACAATAATTCAGTGCGTCCCGACAAAACATCTGTCGTGACAGCCTGAACAGCCCATTCTTGAATCAAAAGCAATGGCTTGGAACGGTATATTTTGCATAACTGATTTCGCACACTAAACCGATATCCTTATTTGTTTTTATCACGCAAAAAGCAATAAAGCTGGTGCCGAGCGAAATGCCATCTGAAAGTCGTATTTACAACTTCGTTTAATCCGCTCACCGGTTAAAAGGCAAACTCAGTGTTTACAATGTATAAATTACGCGCTTTATGGTCGCTTAAATGTCCTCACAGCCGCAAGAGTACGGCCCGAAAGTTGAAGTGAACGCAAAACAAATCGAGCTTTTTCCTTTAAATACAGAATAAATTGTGGAACACAATCGACGAGTCTTGAAACAACAAATTGCACTTTCGATCTTTTCCAAAAGCAATGGCGTTTGTATGCTAATTCCTCGCAGCGTGAGAGTCGGAGCAAGAGGCGGAGCAGTCCCACACTGCATCCGTTAAAGGATTTCGATGGTATAAAGGTTTTATGTAATAAATACTGTCTGCGCTAAAGACAGTTCAAATTATAAATAAATTTAAAATTATTAACATGTATAAATTAACGTGTAAACCACTTGTAATACTCGCGTTGGAAGTCGACCGTTATATTTTAAATAAATTAGCTTATAAATGGTTAACGAATCACATTCAAATTTTTACTTTCGCACTGACTTCCAATCGTAACGGACTCACATTCGAATACAAACTAATTATTTTTTAATTGAAATTATATTAATTTAACACCTTCAGAAGCGTTATTTCTTCTTCCTTGTTCTATCCTGAACAAATACTTTTCTCGCTCTTTCTGCCTTGAGTCATTTTGCCTAGTAAGTCTTTTAATAATATTTATAGTTTTCATACATGCAGATACGACGCGTAAATATATTTTGAATTATAGTTTAATGGTTTTTGAAATAAGTTATCACAAATATTTTGATTCTATTGCTGTGAGTTAAAATGAGTAAGGTTCATCCGACATCATAGAGGAGATTTTTGTTCGACAGTTCTACTAGGAACTGATCATAATTGGCTGCTTTGGCTCCACCAATGGACTTTGGTGTTTTTGATATCCATTGCATTGATCTTACTTTGGTTATGCAAAAAGTATGTTCAAAATAGCAGACGGTTCACCTGATGTTAAGCGAAAAAGTGGGCCTTGGTTAGCTCTCTCACCAGACGAAAAGTATATAACACTACCACTTACGCTGGTCTTCTGTGGGGTCATCTCAGACCAGCCTGCCCATTCGCGCAAACTCATTTCTACCCCCATTAAAAGAACAGGTTTTATTGGATCGCGGTCTAGTTATGAATCGAGATGGCGCCGCGCTCGTACTTGTGGGATTGGTGCAAGATTTGGGCGCAATTTCCCAACGCGGCCGGTGAAAGGCCCGCCAAGGCCGGCCAGACAACAATGGGCCGTGTACGAACCGAGGTGCACGTCCGGAAGTCTCTATTCATAAAGAGGAGCTTTGTTCCCCGATCACTCTTGAATTGATATTAGCGCTAAGCCCTCGTTGTGCGGTAGCAATTGCCTCGGTCGACTTGGGAACGGGCGATGCGAAATTTAACGTGTTCAATGCGTGAGTAATGATTTAATTAACTGAGACCATGTCTCAACTAGTGCAGTTAGTAGATATACTTCTAGCACTACAGATAGATGTAGCATTGTTTTTGTCACACTTAAGGCTTGATTAAATTACGACCATATATATAATACGATAAGTACTGACTATGAATCAATGTTAAATTAATTTGTATATCTTTCTTCGCAAAATATGACTACCGGAACATAAGCAAAATAAGCCTATTATAGTTTCAGTAAATGTATTCTCAAAGAAGAGCTTCCAATGCAATGCAATACTTCATAAACTAGTTTGTCGAAGTCTAATTACCTGAAACTGAGCATACCTTTGAGCAAAGCTTTTTAAAAAAAAACATAATTCCAATTTCAAATTTTTCAAACAAGCGATGCTGAGACAAACGCGACTTTATGCGAGAAATAATATTGCTGTCGTCTTGTTGTTTTTAAATCGACAACAGTAAGTTTTATAGCATAATTAAACTGGACGCGTTTTAATTGGAAACTGTAAATTATATAGAGTTTCGAACTTTAAAACGACCATAACTTTATATATTTCGATATAGCGATCGACATTAAAAATTATATAGAATCGTAATGAATTGACCGACAGAAGGCCCATACGAGAATTGCATTGATCGTTATTGATGCAATTTTGATCGTTATAACGAACGATTTAGGGTATTAAATGGCCTATTGTTTATATTGAAATAAATATTTGCCAGACAATTACTTGAAAACTATATAACCTTGTTATCGCAACGGCGCCAAAGAGTTTTTAATTATCATGCAGAGAACAAATATGCAACCGCTGAATTTTTTTGCTCACCAACCTAGTGCAAAATGTAAAATAATATTGTATTTGTATTCAATTTTGTAATTCAGGGTTTTTTCGTAACATTCTTTCGAAAATTTTGCAGTAACCGGTTACCGTGATTAATAAATTTCTGATATTAAACTTCGAAACTCAACTCAACTTTTAAGTATGATGGTCTGAGGGACATACCCTTAGACCCATTATAAGCACTTTTTAGGAATAAAAAAAATCGATAATCAGCAAGCCTTTAAATGTTACTTCTAAAATCTTACTTACTATAAACAAAATTTCACTGAGATTTCTATTGGTACCCTTCTCGATTTACGTTTATGGAAAACATTACATTTGCTAGTGCGGTTTCAGAGTTTTCTATTCCAATACATTTTCAGATTGCCCAGGACACAAAAGCAAAATATGTTTCTTTGTTATATAAGCATTCTTGTATTCATAATCTTGGGATTTCAAGAAAAATCAACTTAAACATGAGTGTACAGCGTTACTTGGGAATGAATAGGGATTGATGTGAGCGGACGCCTACCACTGGACAATTGGATCGTTTTTATAACAGTTCACTTTCATCCCAAAAGTGGGGATGAGCCTTTTAAAACTAAAAGGCATTGAAAGACGTGATAGCTCTGTGTCCGGGCGCTCGCTTTTAATTCAATATACTCGGGCAATCTGAGAAAAAATCCCAGTGCAGACACCAATGAAATTGTTAATTTTTAAGTGCTGACTTATCACGTGCTCAGCGGTGAAGAAACATCGACGGGAAACCTGCATATTATTGAAATAATATAAGTGTTACGAAGATATGTGAAGTCCGCCAATCCGCAATGGGGTCTCGTGGTTGGCTATACCCTAATACCCTCTGTGCAGAGGAGGCCTTTGCCCAGCAGTGGGAGATGTATAAGCTGATACTTTACTTTACTTTTTTATGTTTAAATTGATCATACTGACCTTTTCAGAATCATGACAAATGCGATAAACGAGGTATCGCGTAAATGGATTGCAGAAAGAGAGATAGCTAATTTCACCCACGTTCCACTTGTTTAGATATGACAAGCTACGAGCCGGGACCAAAATGCGATGAAACATTTCGCAACACACCCAAATGGCCGCGAAGTTAATAGTTCAAGGCGCCCGCTAGCTAGAGCTAGCTCGCTCAAAGTTATCATACAGTTTATTATAATCGGCGAATTATTGCGAAACGACCTGTGCGGGGGATTTTCTTTTACGATTGGCATAATGCTAATTACTTAATGCATGTCAAACGGTACATGTAGGTTAGGTGTGCAACCCCGCGCTAGACTCGATTTGAACCCAGGTCTAACCGGCTTGAAGCTTTTATCATTGCTTCGGCATTTGATAATCCACTGCTAAACATTTAAGAGCTAATTAATAATAGGCCTTCTAAGACCATCTCGTTTGGAGACTGAATGCAGTTTAGATTGTTTCAGAGCATTAACATTTCAGCCTGTTCTAGTCCACGGCGGGCCAAAAAACCCCACAGACAGCTGCGAAGCACCATCCAGATCCACCTGCAACCATAGACTCTCCGACAACATTAAACAATAATACAAGTTCACTTTTACTAACGAAAAAGAAAACCGAATTCAAATATCTCGTTCTGTGTACATTTTACAATTGATTTTCAGGAGTTCCCTAAATATCGTCGGAACCCAATATTCAATACCAGTGAAATGAATATGGGACCACCAGCTTTCAAATAAATCGTCCGAAAAGAATAAAGAATCATCAAAATTGATTCACGCAGTCGAAATTTATGAGGTAACAAACATTAGAAAAATACAGTCGAATTGAGAGCGTCCTCCTCTTTTGATGTCGGTTGACAATCATTTTCATAATAATTTCTTTTTTTTACGCGATTACACATTATAAACGAAACTAACATCAATAAAATTAAATCTAGGCCCAAACGAACCACTACTGTAAGACAAGATACAATTGGCTCCCTCTGCATAGATCGGACACAAAATTAATAATTCAAAAACTGATGGTAGCCCGGGTTAACTAAGACAATCAGACGTCTAACACCTCAGTCTGTCCCGTGACCATGAACGCAGTAAAGGGTTCGAAACGTCGGGAATTAAAATTAAAAATAAACGCGATAAATCCGTAAAATTAGTTTAATTTATAATCATTTTCATCGCAAATTTTGCACCCGACTTATACCGTATTTTATACAATCGTGTTAAAAAAAGCAATGAAGCGTCAACAAAAGCAATGACCCGACACTTATACCGTATTTTATACAATTCCCCCTTAATATTGATTTGACAAGGAGTTTGTGACAAGGTGTTTAAGAATTAACATATGCAAGATAATGAATCTACGATTTAACATGTTACCATTAGGTTAAAGGTCGTGAGAACTCATTTATGTTTATTTATCTCTTAATAATTGCTAATATCGCTACATGTTTATTCAGTATTGTGGCTTTGTTTTGTCATCTTCGAAGGTCGTTCGACTGTTAACAGCTCCGATTAAAAACAAGGTCGATTAAACGGAGAAACAACAAAGATTAATTTAGTCCCATTAAAAAACCAGTCAAAGTGACTTTATTTCCAAGTATTACAACTGGACCTCTTGCGTTTGATGGCCTAGTAAAAGAATTGATAACTCCATCTACTTCTAACCGATAAAGATCCTCTAAGTTAGGTACAAAGCATATTCTAGACGTTCAGTTAAAGCCGACCTGCAAAATCAATCCACGGTCTAGAAATATAACTTTCAGCCATCACTTTCTCCACGACGTTTTGACGGTTTTCTAAGTCGCAATTAAAGTTTAATCAGAGTTCGAACCATGATTATAATAAGTAACAATAAGAGAACTGGTACATAACTGATTATTACGTAACGAAGTAGATAAAATCATCAAGCCGGCTGTAAGAAACGGTCCACAATGAACTGTAGCCCAGCGCGATTCGTGGCACAATTAAGATCATTACATCTTATTATTCAACCGACGCAAAAGAAGGTAACACGTTGAACAAAGAGTACGACTGTCTCCTGCCATTGTCATAAACATTAAAAAAATCAACTTTATGCGTGGAGTAAAAACAACAATGGCTGACTAACGCACGCCTTGAGTTTGGCAAGGAGGTTGCCAGAGACATTCGCATTGCACATATCTTGGAAATTAGTGAACAATTGATGGTACAGTCCAGTTAAGTAATATTAACAAAATAAAATTGATATTTTTAGAATATAGTTGTTGTACTCAGAACTTCTTAATCACTTTCTGAACCCCAAACTAGACGGTGCCATTCCTACGGAGGTAATAATATCTTTGACAATTTCCAGTGCTTCGACAGTTACGACATTGACAAATATAATTTTGAAAAACGTACATAAAAAAATTAAAATATTTTTTAACTGTACGTACCTGTGGTACTGCAACCGTAATTTCTACAGATGTAAGATATTTTTAATATGATTAAAAATGTAATTAGTTTGGAAGGGTATCTATTTTTTATGATTCTCACACTACTTTCTTCGCTTACTCTGCAGAATGTAGAATGTGTTGGAGCGCCCTATGCCCAGCAGTGAACTAAAACGGGCCGAAATGATGATATGAGTATACTATTAATTCACGATAACTAATTTTTATACTTCAATATGTCATAATTTAGGAAAATTTATTTATATTTATACATGACTAGCTGACTCGGCAAACGTTGTTTTGCCATATAACGCTAGATCCAGACAAGCTAGATCTTCTGCAAATCTCGGCAAAGGAAGGTGTACAAATTATCAGAATTACCAGTATAAAAAAACTGTTTAACGAAACTGTTTAACAGCGCTCTAAGATATTGCCAAACCTATGTTTATTCATCATTAGTAGTAACTTTTAGTCAGTATCTGTTATTAGCTAAACTTATTAATGAGAAGGCAACGACTTTTAACTGTGGTAGGGCTACGCAATAGTCTTCGTTGTTGCACAAATGGACAGGTCCATCCTGTGAAGTACCTGTATAAATCTACGTTTCATCTGGTGAGTGAGGTAACCGGAGCCAACTTTATTAAAAGGTGGCAACGCATGTGCAACCCTACGGCTGTTGCAAATGTCCATGGGCCAACTTTTAACATCAGGTGAACCGCCAGCTCGCGTGCCACCTTCTCACATAGAAAAAAACGAAGTTAAATCGGAGTACTTCCGGTATAAGAGCTTATTTCTTATTTTTATTCTTTTAAAGAAAAGCACCTGGAGAACCGAGCTTAGCTCGGTTTTTTTTGGTAAATCATGTATTTTTGGAAATAAAAAAATACAATAAAGAAAGCAATGATATGGTATAGAAAAAAAAAAAAAATAAGTGTGTAAATGACTGACCGAGGTATTATAACATTTTTTTTGCGGCGAAATTTACCGTCATATTCGAATGACGATTTCATTCCCTGAAAACAGGGATAAAAGGACATTTTCTAAAAATAAAACCTAGTTAGATCGATTTTTCGCCCCCGAATCTACGCACATACTAAATTTCATGAAAATCGCTGGAGCCATTTCCGAGATATATATATATGTATATATATATATATATATATATATAATATATATATATATATATATATGATTCTGTAAATACTGTTGTAAACGTATTACATTTCATATTTTCATTTAACAAACGTAATATTTAACAATAGTTCATCTTCATATAACATCAAGATTTAACGGTAACTACTCCTCGCTCCCTTACCAAGTATAATGTATAATACTTAACCGTACCACAATTGAACCATAAATAATGTAAATTATTCATTCATCCCGGAACCAAGCTCGAGAAGACTTAGCTTAAGCTTGTAATATTAAAATGGCGGCATAGCAAAACAAGTCTGGCATATTAAGTTCAGAGAACTTGCTGGCAACTTACTTATTAAAATATATGAAAGCAATTCAATCACCATAAGTTATCCGCAGGAAGTTAGTACCCGTAAGTGTTTTAAACGCTACCTGTCATTTAGAATAACGTAATTCTGATGTTTGGACGTTTTACATACACAAAATTTCATTTAGACAAATAGCCAGATCCAGAGAATATATCCGTGGGTCGCACATATTGTCTCGTAAAGAAATCGAATCCACACGCGTTGCAAGAGCCAATGACTAAGATGCACCATCCACAGCTCCGGGCAACAGGCCCGGGCTCCGGGCTGCAGGCCCGGAGGCCCCACCTCCACAAAAGAGGAAAGAGAGAAGAACAACCTTGAACATGATCAACAAAGTATGCGCTTGGTCTGAGTTTTAGCTAGCCTATTAAGGCAGCAGCAATATAGCAGGTGCACACCTCTGCCACATTACCAACAGGCGAGAGACGGTGACGAATTCAGCTATTTACTCAATAATGACTCAGTGGCGCAGTTGCTAAGCCATCACCTCGACGTTGCGGGTTATAGGTTCGATTCCCATACGGGGCAAATATTTGTGCGAACCACAGTTCTTCCGGATATGGGCTGTTCCCTAGGAGGGTTGACGTCAGGCAGGCGACCGGTCGCCAATACCCAGGCAATACCATTAATAATTCCCATGTTGTACCGACCCCACCCAAGGGGAGAAGGTAGGAGAAAGGAGACTCACTATGTTATAGAGCGCCGTGAGTTTGCGCTCAGCCATCCAGATTCGATCGACCAAGAGACCCCACGGCGTGTGAAATGCTGAACTGTAACCCGACCCTCGTGAAATGCGAATGCAAGTGAAACACTCCGGTTTCCACATGCTGAATTCGATATCGCCCTATCGGTTTCAGGGCTAGCTGCGAGCGCCCCGGCGAACTATCACGTTTTCTAATTGCTTCACAAACGAAATTGAAGTAAACATAAAGGAAAAGCCTATATGTGTACCACTGCCGAGCATAGGCCTCTTCTGTACAGAAGGTACGAAGTAGTTCGCCATTGATTGGCGGAGTTCACACGTCTTCAATTTTTTTTTATTATTTCGAAAATATTCCAGTATCCCCATGACGTTTTCATTCACCGCTGAGCACCTGATAAGCCTGGATTTGAGTTCAGGTTGCTCGAGTACAATGAAATAGGATGATTGGTATATTGGTATGAAGGCATAGTTCAAAACGTGGCCCACCAATAGATTGCTTCGCATATCTCCAAAACATTCGTTTCCCGAAGGTAAACAGATTCCCTCGTTACGTTCTTGTTGAGGTTGACAGGTTGCGAAATAACAATTTCGTTAAAATCGACACCGCAATGTTCGCTTTGTTTTTTTGAAAAGCAAATCGTTTTCTTCTAAAGAAGGACAAGGACAGCACGAGTCAGAGTATGCGTCATTAAAAATATAACGAAAAACCAAAAACAGCCTTTCATTATTTTTTTATCTGAAAACATTGCCCTTACATTCTGATAACATTATTGGGTTTCGCGACCATTTTGCTAAATTTATCCATGATACTCATATTTAAATTCGTCCTGCATCATGCAGAAAATCACTAGAAATAGCCCTAAATTTCAACAGCAAAGGCCCTCGCTAAAATTATTCCTCGTAAAATGTTATTCAAGAGTGTCAGCATACTGTAGTGTCTAGGTGTCGCCAAGCTATCCCT